AAAATCTATTGATAACATTAATTTTTTTTTTTATAAATGTGCCCTTTATAGAGTCTACAGTTTTTTCATTTTTGTATAGCATATATACCCCAAACATTCAAATGTCCCTAAGAGAATCCAATAATTTTGGCATTACTACATACCTGATACTTAAAAATTGAATTATCCAATACTAAAAGGCTAATATTTAAGGTTTTTTCACTCTTAAGAGATTTATTTTATCATAAAATCAACATGTTATTCAATTACTTGAAATTCAATTTTATCATTTTCAGAGACATATTTTACTATATAGTTTGGATATTTTATTTATAAAAAATTATAAAGAGACTATTTTGAATTCTTAATTATTTAGTTGTTTGGCACAGGATTATTAAACGAAGGTCAGGTGCGTTTTATCTGTAAGCAAGCTAAAGATATTTTATTTGCTCAAAATTATAATTAGTAAGAAAAAGAGACAAAATATTTTTTTAAATGTGATTTGTTTTGAATGTTTTGTTAAGAAGGCTTTCTAATTAAAGGAATAAAGAAAAATAAAACTTTTCATGCTATTTATGGCCTTTTTTTCTTGTAATGAAAATTTTCTTTAAAATATGTGGAGGTGTTTTTTATCACATATAAATAAGAAGCCCTACTAAGCCAACATTTTACTCACATTTGTTTCAGAGTTCAAATAGAAAAGAAACAAGTAATATAAAAAAAATTTTATTTACTTGCAGGAATAAGTAGGAATTAAAGTCAATTCCTACTTAGATCAACAAAGAAAAATTTTATTTTAGCTACTTTTTATTAAATAGTTATAATTAATATAAATATGTATATACATAAGACAGAATCACAACATTAAGTGGTAATTAATTTTTATTAATTATCATTAAGTATTGTATTGTCCTCCAAAACAATAGTGTACATAAAATTTCAGTTCAACTGAATGCTTTAAAAAGTGAGGAAAAAACCTTTTCAAGTTTTGACATGGCTGTATTTTAATTATTTAAATAATTAGTTTTAATCAATTAATTTCTATTAATTATAATTAAATTATTGTATTGTCATCCACAATAATCGTGTATTTAAAATTTCAGCTCAAACGAGTGGTTTAAAATGTATTTTATTAACGATTAAAAATTCCACCAAGATAAATAAATATAGAGTATGAGCTAATATTAGGAATTAAAAAAAATATTGCAAAATAATTCTCAACCTTTCAGTTACTATTTGATGTTCTTTTTCACCCCTTAACCTTTTATAATTTTTGAATATTTTTTATTAAAAATTTTTCTTAAATATCAGAAAATTTTCAGAAATTAAAAATTTGAAATTTTTAATTTCTGGCCCAGAGAAAGATACACTGAAAATAACAGGACATTTTTATTTTTATTTTGAATATTCAACATTTTATAAACGTGATTTCGTGATATATGCTTTACACGCCAATTTATCTAATTGTGTAGCATACATATATATAGATACCTAAATAATTCATTATCTTTCCTAAGATAACTAAGCAAAAAGTTTGGGTATTATTTTGAGCAAGAATTGTTCCTAAGACATTACTTATTAGTCCATGGTTGAGCAATCATTTTAGTTCGAGCAGCTTTGTGGAAACGGAGGTTTGCTCTCATTCATTATTTAATTTTGCATTTCAAAATAAGTATCATACATACAAATCAATTAATGTAAGTTAAACAAAATAGTGTCAGTTTTATTTAATTAATTTATTATGCTGCTTTTATATAATCTATAACTGCAAGCACATTTAATTTTAGATTGACTGATTTGTGTTGATAAATCAATCATTCCGTGATCTCATTTCAGATTGTACTCCTTAAGTAAGGTTATCGCTTCAAGACAGAATTAATTCATAACTTTATTCCTTGTATTAGTAAAAAAAATATTTGTTTCTTCATTGTACATTAAACAAATGACATTCATCACTAATTGGTTTTTTCGGAGGATATCATGGTTATAAATTGATGTATTTACTGCTTCAAAAACAAAATATAAATTAACCATGTCAAGAGGAAAAGATCAGTGCATGTCATATCTACAAAGGGCTTGCTAGTGGCTCACACACAAACAATTGTTACGAAAGTGTGTAAATAATTTGTATTTGGATAAGCAAAGCATTTGTATTACTCTATGTTATATTCCATTAAAGAGATTAAATTTTTGAAAAACAACAAGTAATGTAAGAAAAATTGTTTTTTGTAAATTCCTACTTAAGTCAACAAAGAAAATTTTATCTCTTAGTTACTTTTTATTAAATAGCTACAAGTAATATAAATATGCATATATATATGACAGAATCACACTATTAAGTGACAAAATAGAAAGTCATTTTTCTCACAATTTTCCATTTTCCTTTCTATGTAGGGTGTTTGACTATTTTTTTGTTTTTTACTATTTATTCATTAATTAAATTTAATTATTCTAATAAAATAGTATATAGTAAAAAAGAAATCACATTCTCAGAAATAAGACCATCACAGGCGGAATTCGAACTCACCTCCTTTGGATTAGAAATCTAACGAGCTATCCATTGCGCTACAGGGACTCAACGAACAATTTTCCTTTCTAAATATGCTGTTGCACTATTATTTTTGTGCGTTACTATTTATTCAATTTTCAATTTAATTAATGAATTAATATTTGAAAAAACTGTATTAACATCAAGTGTCATCCACTACAAGTTTAAAAAAATGTATTTGAACTTGTATGGATGAATAGAGAGTATTTTATTACCGATTGAAAATTTGAACAAGATATATATATAAATATATATAAATATATATTACAAGAGAAGTGAACTAATAGTATAGGAATTGAAAAATGTTGACGACAGCACCGAGATGTAACTTGTATGCTAAAAATTTTTGAAAATTTGGTCTATCGGAGGGGTTTGAGCTCCCAAACCACCCTACTTCCCTAATGGATGTATATTGACGATGTTATCCCAGTGGAAAGAATGAGACGAATTTTTGATAGCGCAAAGGAAAGAAATATCAGTTCTGGGCAGATTTTTCTGACTTTATTGTTGGGCTGCATGTGGCCCGATGGCCGCTATTTGCCCACTCTTGTATTTGTCTGTTCCAGGTTTCAGAATTTGTAAAAATGGGGGGATACGAAAAATTTATGATTTTAATAAACTGAAAAATGAGCCTCGAAAAAAGATTTAAAAGTTACTTTTCTGCTTATTCTGTGAAGGGGGGTGTCCTAAGGGTTAGGTCTAAAGTAAACATGAAGGTACAAGAACTATTAAGCTAAAGGGACGCCTTAGTAATATTCACATTAAAAAAAACATAGTGTAAGGGCGCCCCCCTCGGGTGCCCTTCTCCTAGATTATCAGCGTGAGCTAGAGGTGTAGGAATAAATGAAAAACTAGAAGCTACCATGATCCTAATGTTACTTTATTAAGATCTTAACTTAACCACACACAATAACAGATTAGATAATAATATGATATGTGAGAGAATCTACGGTGGCTAAACACACAATATATATATAATACCGAAATAACGTAACCCGGACCACTATCAATAACTAACTCGCCTAAGCGCAATTCCATTGTGATCACAGATCCGAATATTTAAATGGTCACTCCTACCTTTCAGGTCCAACGAAGTATCAATCAACCTAGTTGAAGTTACGGTTCACTGGCGTGCAATGGTATGCACCTTGACTAAGGGCTCTATGTACCAAGTAACCTCTCTTGACTGTCACCTAGATTCACGAAATACTCTTCACACTTGCCACACGCACGAACATAACATTCCCCAAATGTCCCCCAGCTTACTCTAAACTTCTGTTATTTAAAAGCTTCCTAATTTGCATCTTTCCTTCAGGTTTTACTTCTCGGGTTGGTTGGAAAAGAGTTGCCATACATTCATTCTGGCCCCAAAGAACCCAAAAGTATACGTTAATGAAAAAACGCGTGAGCCCATCACAATAGTTTTATCTGAATCATGATGTTTACAACTAATATTATAAAACACTAAAATTTCTTTGGTAGATTGACTTAATAATATTAAGGGAACACAGTACTCTGTACACATTTTTTTTATTTATATACTTACATAAAAATTCTTAATTGTACCCTATTTGAACACATGAACATACATTTTTTAGAAGAAAAGACACCATTTTTAAACAATTATTTAAAACTTTAAATTTCTTAAAAATATTTTTCTGTTTTGAAATTTTTACTACTTTTACAAATTTTAATACTTTTGAACACTTTTTTTAATATTCTTAGAAGGGATCCTGACAATTCCTGTGCATTGGTTTGGTATTACGATTGATAGTTTTATTTTTGAAGTTTTTTTCGTGTCGTATGCTATAAAAATCAGTTATACATCTGACTTTGACGATTTTTGAAAAAATAACTATTTACCTAAATCCTTATTTCATATGCTGAGAATCATCAAACATATCGTACAAAACAATCAGAAGTAGTTTCAAAACATTATTTTGAAAATTTAAAAAGATAAAGCTTTAGTATTTTAAATACATGATTATCGTAAGAAAATAAAAACCTAAGAAAAAGTCATTTAAAGTTTTGAAAATCAACAAAAAATTGAAAGAGCCAAATGCATACGTCACGTGTTCTAGTTTCAGTTTTCCTTTTGACATAGTTTTAAAAAAGTTCAATAACTGGCTAAATTAAACAGATAAAGCTACAAAATTTTATACGTATATTTAGAAAAGTCGCACAGTTAAAATGAAGTGATAAAAAATTGGGTATTTTAGTCATTTTTCAATTTCTACCATTAGTTCACACACTCTACTTGTTCAAATTTTCAATCGTTAATAAAACACCTTTTAAAGCATTCACTCAAGTTCAAAGGCATTTTTTTAAACTTATAGAGGATGACACTTGATGTTAACACAATTTTTTCAAATATTAATTCATTAATTCTATTTTATTAGTGAATAAATAGTAACAAACAAAAATTATAGTCCAACACCATACGTAAAAAAGGAAAATCACTCGTTGTAGTAGTAATCCTGTAGTGCAATACATAGCGCGTTGGACTTCTAATGCAAAGTTCGTGGTTTCGATCCCACCAGGGGTGGCCTAATTTTTGAGAATGTGATTTCTTTTTACTATACTATTTTATTGGAATAATTAAATTTAACTAATGAATATTTAGTAACAAACAAAAAAATAATAGTCCAGCACCATATACAGAAGGAAAAATGGAAAATTGCAAGAAAAGTCGCGTTCGATTTTGCCATTTAATATTGTGATACTCTTATACGTATATACAAATTTATATGAATTTTAATTATTTAATAAAAAGTAAATAAAATATATAATTTTTTTCTTTGTTGACCTAAATAGGAATTTACTTTGAAATTTTTTTTATATATTACTTGCTTAGGGATTGTGTCGTCTAAAAATCAATTATAAAATTTAATGCAAGTTTTCTCTATTTTCTTTTATATTACTTGTAAAACTAATATAAGGGAGTTTAGATCTACAAGGATGCCATCGGCAATTTGTACGTGAAACGGCGAAGGTGAGAAAGAATAGCCTTTCGATTCCCAGGCTCGACAGTCGGTCGTCTTTTCCTCCGACACCTAATCCAATTGTCGGCTGGATGCGAGTCTTCGACGCACCTGAGTCACAAAGAAACCGGCCTCTTTAAGAGAGCCATGCCCATCAACGCTGCCTTTGTAGCCAGCCTCCGCAGAGCTCCTTCTCTCCGAATTGCAACATCACTTTTAGAATTGGGGAGCTTTTCAAATATCGCCGATGCACTCCGTAGAGAATGTCGCGTTACGATCACGCTTGGTGATGCTGCGCTTCTGCGGTTAAGTGCTACTTCTCGGTCCCATCAAATCTTTCGTCATGTTCCTTTGAATTCTTTTGAGAGTTTCATTGACTCGACTCGAAGAACAGCATTTTAATTTTTTTTTCTTCCCTCTCTTTTTTTTAAAGCTGGAGCGAGTCGTAGAAGCTAGAGCTAAGTTTAGAAGTGTATATTGTAAATGATATAAAAATAATGGAACAAAATTCCTGACCAATTTGTCTGTTAGTTTTCTTAGAAAGGTACTAGTAATTCGTATGCTGAATGATAGTTTCGTTTCATGAGTAAGTATTCTTTCCATTTTTGTTTCATTTGTTGAAATTTTCCTCCCACCACAGACAGAGATGTCTTAAGACTCTTTGAGGCCCCGGGGGCCCAGAGAAATCTGAAGAGTTTTTTAGGCTCTGAGCCCCTATGCAAAAGTAGGCCCTACCTGAGATCTTTAAAAGTAGACAGCATATAGCTTACATTGTGAAATACTCGTCCAAACGGCAATTCGAAACAAATAAATGCGCACGACTCACAATCTCAATATTTTGGGCACAAACCAACTAAACCGACCTGATTTCGACTAAATAAGTTAAATGGTTGTTTATCGAACTAGGCTTAAGCCTGGACATGGACAATGGTCATCACATAATAATACAATCCTAACAGTTTTGCCAGCTGACATGGAGTTTGAAATTCCTTGTTTTTCGGAGAATATGTATGGGAATAATATTTGACTACATTAAAATTATCTGGATCATGATCTTATTAAGACAGAGAATGAAAAGAGGCCCCCACAGAGGGTGAGGTCCTAGGCCCGGTTCCAGTTCGCCCATGCCTTAAGACGTCCCTGACCACAGACTTCGTAAGTTAAACTTCGAGCAAATGCTGAGGATGGTATATGTGAGTTGGTACATTTCTCTTGTATAGTCCACACCAATAGCGTCACTGAGGTGGATCGAAGAATGTGATTGCCTCGCAGTGGCGTAACGTACACCCCCGCAAGCCCCGCATCGAGGGGGGGGGACAGGACTGTAGGGTGCCCAAAGCCCAACTAACACCAAGTACTGCTTAGGACCCAAAACTTGACTTTCCAGGGGTGCCCTAATATTCTTCGTTACGCCACTGCTGCCTCGGTTAGCTTCCTAAATAAGAGGAGGGAGTGAGGGTTTTATTAACGTTGCACTCTGAAGCAACACAAGGGCTACTGGCGATAGACCTCGTAATTATGAACGACTTTCAAGTGGTGAGACATTGCTTCTCCAAAGTACTACACTACGCCAACGAGAGGATTTTGAGCCATGACAAATTTAATGTACATCAGTCCTCTACACGAAGGGTCTTCAGTTGCATCAGAACTCTAGCCCGTGACTCAGCAACGTCTGTTACGAGTTCATGGCAATGACCACTACGTTACCACTGCCATGCGTTGGAATGTAGAAGAAAAAAGCGGAGGTACATCGACAATTTTCATTGCGAAAGTACAAAAGAAGTTTGTTACAATGACTTACGGGAGAGATATTGTTAACGAAACTCTCTCGTAATTTTAAACCTCCGTTAGGAGATGAAGATGATCGCTGAGCTG